TGTTTCATGACTTTATTGCTTTTCCCCACAATCCTTAAAAATAGAAACGAATACCTATTTAGTGTGAGTTTCACCACAGAGCAGGGGGCCTAACGCCTAACTGGGTTCCTATGGATATATCGCTTTCAATTTCATATTGTGATTTCTGAGCGCCGAAGGTTTTCAAATCTCTCGTGCTATTTTTCCCCCTTTGCATTGGTAATAACAAAATTAAAGAAAATGAGCGTGTGATATTTGAAAACCTTCGGAAAGAAATAACATCATGTAATCGTAAGCGATAGCGATAGCCATAGCAAAACCGTTAAGCGTTTGACCTCCTGGTTAAAAGTTAAGACCATTTTATACTATAGCTTTAACTATTTATTGTTTTTAACTTTCATGGTCACTAACATTATAGTAATATAAGTTATTTCCGGGATTCTCACCATGTACCTTGTTTTAAGCGAGTTTCCGATATTTCGGCACTGTTGCAAGCGCCATGATCACGGAGTAACCAGTTAACGAAACGTAACGAGTAACCAGTTACTCCGTGATCTAAAAACAAGGTACATGGTCACAATCCCGTAAATAACTTATATTACTATAGCTTTAACTGTAACCGATAAATTATGACCTTATTTTGCCTATCATCATAAAGTGCAACCCATTTTTTATTACCTAACTGGTTCTTCAACTGAACAGTTTCAGTTAAAGTAATGCTGATGCAACTCATGCTTTCTTTAAACAAGGAACACGAAAATGGTCCCAAACCAAAATTGACCGTTGCTAACAACGATATTGCTAATTGAAATATGTTAGAAGAAACATAAGGTACAATTCTTCGACGAAATGCCGCTATGGCCAAATAGGAACAAATTCAAAACCACTTGCCTGAAACAACTGCTGCAGACAATAAAAAAATAAAATGAGCAACAAGTCAAGTCACTCAAGTCGTCAATAGTGCAAGTAAAAATATTATATCAAAAGATAACGTTTCTTTGATTATGTAAAGTCGTTTCTTAAATGATAAAACGGGTTGTGAAATGCTATAGGAGTTGAACAATATATCTAATTTCAATAGAGGTAAATGAAACGCATTCAAATATAAGGCGTCTGTTGTGTCTTTTCATAATACATCATCGTCATCGTCTTTTTATTACTATTAATAATATTACTAGAAATGGATGCGAAACGCCAAAAAAGTAATAAAACATCGCATTTGGATCCATTTAACCGTGTTTCATTTAATGAGTGGTGTGCCTGAAAACTTTAGAAATAAATAGAGGTAGTTATTTAATTTTGATTTGAATTTTCCTAACTTATATTATTACATGCTAATAACAATGCAAAAATCGGTATAAAGACAAAACGTTAAAATCATGTGTTCATAGCCCTGCTGCTGATAAAGACTATTAACCAAAACCTTTTCTGAACTGAAGTTGACATGTTACACAAAGATCGAAGGTCATAAGGAGTCGACGAACTGCTTAAGGAGAAAATGTAGGTGATCGGTATGCAAGTAATGTTAGTTGTGAGTGAAAGGTGTGAAACTGTTGCAGTTCGCCGCCAAATTATTACAACGGTTAATTGTCAACGCTGATCATTCAACGCGAATCAAGTCAGGAGGTATACCCTATGTTCGACAAATTATTACTTTGATACAAATGGCATTCTGATAACCAAGCCATGTTGATTAGAGATTTCTATATTATAATAAAATCGTAATAGACATCATACTTTACTCCTTACAACTACTTTGCAGTACAAACAACATGAATTTAGTTTGATTACGTTTTAAAAATCTTTAATTAAAAGAACACCCACATAGCAATAATATGCACGATCGTAAAATCAATATTGAAATATCCAATTTACAATAAAACAAGATATTCAAATCACAAGTTGTACACGTTATGCACAATAATGATTTAGTGTGTTATTCGATAATGTGTTGTGTTACATTTCTATTAAAATTATATTAACGGAATAATAACACAAATCAATTACCTATAATAAAGAAAGCTAGAGTATGTATGGGCAAACAAAAGGCTGGCGCACATTATGGCGGGCCGCACCGCAACGCATCGCATAACAAAAATCTGCCTACAATATTTTCGTACATTTCATACGAACTACCGCACACTACAGGCGGGCCGCACCGGGCCGTACCGCAACGCACTGGCTGATCGTTTGGTCATCATCAGCCTATTAATGTCCCCACTGCTGGGGCACAGGCCTTCCCTATGGATGGAATAGGGAGATTGGGCCATGACCCACCACGCGGGCCCAGTGCGGATTGGCGGGTGCTAACGACTGCAGATGCAGCCGGGACCAACGGCTTAACGTGTCTTCCGAAGCACGGAGGAACTCGAGATAGTAAATTTTTGGTCACCCATCCAATGACCGACCACTGCGAAAGTTGCTTAACATCAATGATCGCAGCCAAACGCGCTAACCATTTGTGCCATCGAGCTCTTCATCGTCGATCGTTTGATAGATAGATTGTTTGGTAGACGGTAATATTTAGAAATTGTAAAGGTTTAGTAAAGGTGAGTAGGACACTTCTAGATACAATGTCTCAAAAGATCTTATAATGTGAATTATAAGATCCAATATAATGCGAATTATAATTTCCATTTCAGTCATTTTGCAGAATTTTGGGTGAAAATCTTGATAGTTCCGAAGGACATCCAGGTGTTACACAGAAATGGTTGAATTTGCACCTTTAACCGTTTCTCTGTAAAACCTGGGTGTCAGACAGCGGTCAGACGGACGCGTGGGGGACAACAACAGAGATCCGTTCTGAACTTTCCAGATCTTTAAAAAACACCACCAGAATTCCTGATTTCTTTCTGTTTTTTTTCAAAATCTTTGTTTCACTCACTGAAACGAAACAAAAAGTTAAATGAGTGGACTTCTTGCTAAGTTATAATAATTCATGTGGCATCTGACTTATGATATATATCGTCTATATATCTTTATATATATAATTCTTCTGTGAGTGTGTATGTCACTGAACTTCTCTTAAACGACTGGACCGATTTTGATGAATTTTTTTGTGTGTGTTCAAGGGGATCTGAGAATGGTTTAGATTCACAATTTTGTCCGCTGGACAACCCCTATTTTTTTAGGGCGGTACGAAGTTCGCTGGGTCAGCTAGTATATATATATATATATTAAAGTTGCAACTTTAATAATTTCTGTGTAACATCTGGGTGTCAGACGACGGTCAGACGGACGCGTGGAGGACAACAACAGAGCTCCGTACAGAACTTTCCAGAGCTTTAAAAACACCACCAGAATTCCTGATTTCTTTCTGTATTTTCAAAATCTTTGTTTCACTCATTGTAACGAAAACAAAAATGAGTGGACTTCTTGTTAAGTAATGATAATTGATGTGGCATCTGAGTTATGATATATCGTCTTTATAAAGCTAGACAACCGTCTTTAATATTCCATCCCACACAGCGATGGTATATGGGAGGAATTGCCTTCAATGTCGGCAGAATTGTAGACCTATATATTTAGTCATTCCGTTGCAAAGCAAAGGTATGTAGGTAGGATATTAAATTGCTGTTGGTAAACCTATTTTAAATCAAAAGGCCTATTTCGTTATGTAATTGCTTTCGGGCAGATGTAGGTAAAATAATGAATAAAATATTAACTTTGTTTGCACAATTATTTCAAGTGAAGTTATTAGGTTTTATCTTTCTTACATTTTAGAGCCATAGTAACTAAATTATATCAGTTTCAAGATTTTTATTATAGGAGATACCGTATATGTATGTATGTATGTATATGTACTATTCGATATGACTTATACTGAAGCATGGTCAATGTTGATGTGCAAATATCTTTGCTACAATGTAGCAACATTAAAGATTAACACAAATGAAAAATTAGTATTATTATATTACATATAATTTTAAAACTAATTTGTCATTTGTGTATATGTAATAATAATACGAGGAGCGCGGGTGGTCGGTCATTGGATGGGTGACCAAAAATCTTCTATCTCGAGTTCCTCCGTGCTTCGGAAGGCACGTTAAGCTGTTGGTCCCGGCTGCATCTGCAGTCGTTAGCATCCGCCAATCCGCACTGGGCCCGCGTGGTGGGTCATGTCCCACTCTCCATAGGGAAGACCTGTGCCCTAGCAGTAGGGACATTAATAGATGATGATGAATATTAATACTAATTTGTCATTTGTGTTAATCTTTAATTTTGCGAATAACATTACTTTTTTCGAGAATCCGGGAATTAAAAAATGTTTTAATTGCTTTCATACAGAATTAAGTTACATTATTAAAACAAAAATATGAGGCGCCCTTTGTTGAGAACCTTATGTATTTTCCTACTTCGTAAGTAATTGCTTCTCATTTAAAAATAATGACAACTTTTATAAAGTCTCATTCATTATACCTTTCCAAATTCATGAAGAAACATGGAGAATAACGATAACTAGTTCACAGTGCCTAATAAAGAAGTAAGTAATGTCCATAAGTTATGGTAAAATATCTCGGTCGACAAGGATAAGGAAATTAAATTACCTAAGCAAGTACTTATGTTCAGCTGTTTCTTAATATTTTGTTTTACCAAACAAACGTGACGAACTAAAGAAAAACCCAAAATAAAAACTAAAAATAAACCATTAAAAACAAAACCAAAAAAATATATATATATAAAAAAATAACTGCAGATTTTATCAAATTAGGTTACGTAGAATAAACTGTAATGTTTTTGAGTAAGGTGTTTGATAAGATCTTTATATAATTATTGTTCATCAAGTAAAAACCTCTTTTTTTTTCAATTCATTTTGATGATTATGGTAAAACACATTCGTTAAGCATCCTTTTAAAAAACTATATTCGGAGAATCAAATTTAATCGAACACGAGAACAAAGAATGAATTGAACGGACCACCGTACTAATCATTGCCATTCAGAGATACATTAGCCATACGCACAAAGCGAACGCAACAGATTGGCTGCTCATTAGCAATTTGGTAACGTCTTAATTAATAGATGATACGGGGCGTTAACACGTTCTGTGTGTTGGGTTTCGGGGCGAATGATGCAATTGTAAACGGCAAAATCCGGTGTGCGTTAAGTTTAAAAAAAAATGTAGTTTCACATGTGGGTTTGATCGAGTGGGGTAGCGAAGAGAACTGCGCCCGCGCAGTCAGTATCTGTGCAGTTTGTGTTTGTGCGCTCGCGCTCAAGGAGTTACTAGACATAGTAAGTGTTGTGTTGTGATTTTCTTCGCGGCGCACTACCATTTTACGTTTTACGCATTGCGATTTCCTTTTTATTTCTCATTTTGCTTGGCGACTTTGTAACACACGCTTTAGACGTTAAAGACGAAATTGGTACGGTTTTTAAAGATAACGTTTTGTTTACAAGCTGCTTAATATTCTTTTATGATTTGTTGATTCTGACTGTTTGTTTTATAGAAGACGTTAATTTATGAAATTAATATTTTAATTGATTTAAAGCTAAGTTACCGTTAAAATGACAATTTAGTATTCTTTTGATCATTAATTTCTACTGATATTTATAAGTTTGAAGAAATAATTCTAGCCGGTAAAACTACCCGATAAGATAACTAGGTATTTTCCCTTTCTTAATTCCTGTTCTTAATAACTTGTATAACAACATCATCAGCTTTTAAGGTATTGTAACGTACCTCAGGGATGATCCTTTGTTTTTGGCAGTCACCATACCAGTATATAGATTCCATTTCACACATTCTGTCATCTATCATCATGGTTATATTATATTTATACACTTTTCTTTCTTATCTTTCATTATTAATTCCTGGAAACGAACAATTTCAAAAATATCACGCACTATTCATCATTTCGTAAATAGGTATCAGAATCCCATCTTACTAAAATCACTATTCCAGAATCCTGGAACACTTACCGGCATTTCTATAGAGAAATGCTTCTGTTATTTATTTAATCATCCCTGAGGTACGTTACAGTATATATTATTTTCAGAGCTGACTTAAAATTTACATTTCTATGGATTTAGTTTTGGGTTCTTTAGTTTTTTTTACATATTGCGTTTGAATATTTAATTTAAATAATATGAACTACTTACATTTACTAAATTAAAGATTGTTTAACCAAACATTTACTCATCGTAAAAGCAACTTTGACTTTGCCTTGACTCCTAATTTGATTCTATAATATTACTTTTCAGCCATTTTTATTAGACCACAAAACTATTTCGAATGCCATATAAAAAACAGTTTCGAGAAATCAATACAAAAAAATATATATTTCTTTACCACAACCGTAAAGGTTGAAGAAAGAGATAAACGTATAAATCTTATAAAGCGAATGTATCAAAGGGTTCCTTTATATAAATCGAGCAGCATTGTTCGGTTTATACTATTTTTGGGACAATTGCGTGCGGTTTTTTACCATTCACATCCTGAATCGGTGACATTACACTGCGATTGGAAACGGTCATAAATAAAAATAAACCACTTAGACAATAATAGCCAATCCAATAGTATATAAATTGCGAACAGAAGGAAATAATTCTGAAAAAGTTAGCTAAGCGTAAAAGATAACATATTGCCTCAGGTTATAGTTCTGTAATCATATAATTTTCTACTATCACTCTGTCTTTCGTCCATCCATCAAATTTATATTTCTCAGGAATGCGTGGAGCTATCAAGCTGAAATTAATAACAAAAGCCACATATTTTGATGATCGCAAGGGGGGAACCTAATCTTTACAATATACTTTGATTGACCTAGATTTATAAAAACTTGCCAAAAACTTCGTACTTACATTGCAATGTGGCACAAATAAATTAATAAATGAGGAAACCACAATTAAACATAAGTATGTTGGTAGATTTGCATAGTTCTTTTTGCGAATACAAAAAATTGCATATGCTTTTGGTAAACCTTCAGTGTTAATAACTCGATGGCCGTGAACTATAGTTTTGGTTAGGATAAATACAGGCTAAGCGGCGTCTCATAACTGCATCCCGCAGTTACGCCTGAAGGGTGAGGGGTAGTTCGGGAGAGTTGGTTTACCTGGTAGGTGCGGGAGCTGTTCGGCTGGCTAGCCGCTTGGACTGCGGTCCGTGAGACTAGTCAGGTGACTTTCTGACGTGTCGTATTCAGGTGACGTTGGTCGCAGATGACCTTCACAGCGTCACCGGGTTTGAGGACGGCGAGATCCTAAGCGGACCTCAAGCCGAAAATTGGCGAGTGCCTCTAGAGGTATTCCAGGCGGATGGCATCTCCCCATGAGGGGAGATAATATCTCGTGGGGAGATGCCATCGTGAGATGAGATCTCCTCTCCGTCTGAAGCCTCTAGACCACTCGAAGTAAATAAAATAATAAGTACTGTTAGTTTATACGTGTTTGTCTATCTCGAATCGTAGAACTACAGAAAATGAACTATGTAATACTACTGTTCCTGCAACATACATACTTTCATAAAGTTTCTATAGGTCCACAGTCCAAAAGTTGCTAAAGGTAGGTAAACGGTTAACTTCATCATAATCTGGGTCAAACGAAACTCTTAATTATGTTTTTTGTTTAAAAATGTGGATTTCCAAATTGCAACATTAATGGAAAATGGAAATGTAGATTTTATATGAAAAATCTTTTAAGTACAGAAACAAGTTTAAAGAAAAGTTTACTAGAAAAAAAAATGTCCCGTCCGCTGCCTGGTCCGCGTGGATTTTTTTCTAGTAAACTTTTCTTTAGATTTAAATATCTAGCAGTTAAATGCTTAAAAAAATAAATAAAATCATAACTACAGAAACAAGTGTTTATTCCAAGTAAAAAAAATCAACACAATACGACACATCATATGTTTAACAAGAACCTTTAGCGAAAATCTAGATAATCAATTGTCATAAAGATAATACAATTAACATAACCGCATTAATACCAACGGCCTGACTCTTCGGACTGACTTTAAGACGTTTTTATGTTAGTGACAGATCCACTAATTGAATCTGCGAGTTAAGCCTCTGATGTGAAAGTCAATTACACGAAGGATTTCGCAATTCTGAAATTGTTTCAAGCTACTGTCTGTCAGACAGAATGTAGGATTCCCGCCGTCCCGTGTAGGCCCGTATTGCTTGCAATAGGCAAGAGTTCAACAATACAGAAGTTAATCTACATACAAAGTGTGTTCGAGCAACGCACACATAGACACTGCTCAGGGACACGATATCTCGGACCACTAGGGACCGCTGCGAGCGCTAGTTCCATCTGCTTCAGACACGTGTCTGCGAACTTTTTTGTGCAAATGTAGAGTAACAAAATATAGTTGTTATAACTGTTCAGTGGACGGTTGTTTGAATTAAACATTAAACGGTGAATTGTAGTTTTTTTTAATTTGTACCACATAGCAATAACGGTAAAATTTATATTATTTAGTTATTATTGGTTTATATTTCTGTTATTTCTATTTCATTCTCGACAGTAAATCAAACAACTAGAAACGAAAGGCACTAATACGATAGTTTTTTGTGCATAAGCCAAAGTTGACAAACGTAGCGCGACAACCAAGCGTAGGTATGCAAAGTGAAGTACTTACATAAGATTACCTTCTGTACTATCTATCTATATATAATATTTGTGATTCAACTGTATTGTATTGACGGAGTAGCCAACGTGCACATGACATTTGAAACTCGTAAGCTATAATTGCGCTTCTGACGGCGGCACTCATAATGTACAATTATTTTGATTGATAACTCTTTGCGATAGCAACAGAACAAAACAGTGATCGTAAGTGTTGTTATAGAATCCATCATATCTATGGAATAAATTAAAATATATATATTTATACCTTTATTGTTGATCACGGACTGGACCACACTATAAGTTATAATGATATAACCTATATGCCCCTGAGGGCATATGCCTTTCAAGAACACAATATAATAAGCGCGTGATAATTAAAACGAATCTTTAGATATTTCATAAACACTAATTTAAAGTGATATAATTTCTGTTTCTTTGAAAAATAAAAACTGTTTTCGCCCTTATCGTATAAAAGAACATCGACCTACGAAAAGGCGACCGAGCCGCTCAAATAATCAGTTCTTCCTTGTGCTAATTGTGTTACAAATTTGCACAAATAATCGCTTTTTAATTTCCAATAAAAGTTCTATTGAAAATCAATAAATTACATAGATCATCGGATCGGACTTTTACGTTTATTGTTGTCACCTTATCTTTTCGTGATATATTTATCAAAAAAACGTCTAAGCAACATTTTGTACGGTTTTAAACATTTTGAACGATTTTTACTATAAACACTATCGAAAAGCTTCATTTTAAAAATAAGCCAATTATATTTTCTAGGCCAAAAAAGAACCCAATCTACTTTGCAAAGAAAAAAAATTGTTTGCACGGACCACCCATCCAAACAGAAAATTCTTTTTTTAAATGGCCTAACATTAGGCGGCTCATATACATGTATACATATATATTATCGAGTATGACGCTCGTAGCGTTTCTTACTTCAAAAACTAAACATCAATTAATAAAACGTACAGTTTCTATAAATCATACGTGTTGCTTAGACTTTTTTGATGTATCTATAATTTAATTACCTAATAACAAATATAACCCTATCGCCTACCCTGTGGTGCTGTGATAAACTTTTTAGGTCACCGTCTTCCACGATACCTCAATCTTTCTTAGTTATATTGGTTGCAACAGTAACCCCTTCATAAGACACTAAACGAACAACTAACATTTACCGTACCATCTGTATACATGTATATGAGCCGCCTAATGTTAGATTATTTAAAAAAAGAATTTTCACTTTAGATGGGTGGTCCGTGCATACATTTTTTTTCTTTGCAAAGTAGATTGGGTTCTTTTTTGGTCTAGAAAATATAATTGGGTGATTTTTAAAATAGAAGCTTTTCGATAGTGTTTATAAGAGTATAGTATAAAAAATATTACAATAGTAAAAATAGTTCGAAATGTTTAAAACCGTACAAAATGTTGCTTAGACTTTTTTGATAAATATATCACGAAAAGATAAGGTGACAACAATAAACGTAAAAGTCCGATCCAATGATCTATGTAATTTATAGATTTTCAATAGAACTTTTATTGGAAATTAAAAAGCGATTATTTGTGCAAATTTATAACACAATTAGCTCAAGGATGAACTGTTTATTTAAGCGGCTCAGTCGCTTTTTCGCAGGTTGATGTTCTTTTATACGATAAGGGCG